TTTTTTAGTTTTCGGCGGACACAACATCTTTGTTTGTATGTGGTGTTGAGGATTGAACCCAGGCTGCACGCATGCCAGGCGAGCACACTACCGCTTGAGCCACATCCCCAGCCCCCCCTAGCCCTTTTTTATATTTTAATAGAAACAGGGTCTCACTGAGTTGCTTAGAGCCTCACTACGATGCTGAGGCTGGGTTTGCACTAATGATCCTCTGGCCTCGGCCTCCCAAGTTTCTGGGATTATAGGCATGTGCCACCACACCAACTTTCTAAGTTTTGTTTTGTTTTTAGGTAGTTGTAGATGGACAAAATGCCTTTATCTTTTTAAAAATATTTTTTAGATGTTGAGATGTTGATGGAACTTTATTATTTATTTATTTATTTAAATGTGGTGCTGAGAATCAAACCCAGTACCTCACACATGCTCGGCAAGCATTCTACCACTGAGCCAAAACCCAGCCCTTTTATTTGTTTATTTTTATGTGATGCTAAGGTTTGAACCCAGTACCTCGTGCATGCTAGGCAAGTGCTCTGCCACTGAGCTACAGCCCCAGCCCCTTTCTAAGGTTTTTTAATACCTTTTCATCAAAATTTTACAATAGCCTGACACAGTGGCATTTACTTATAATTCCAGTGACTCAGGAGGCTGAGGCAGGAGGATTGTAAGTTTGAAAGTAGCCTGAGCAACTTAGTAAGACTGTGTTTAAAAAGGGCTGGAGTTGTAACTCAGTGGTAGAGCACCCTTGAATTCAATCTCTAGTACTGTTAAAAAAAAAAAAAAAAAAAAATTAAAAAAAAAAAAAAAAAAAAAACCTTGTTGTTGCAGACATGGTGGTGCATATCTATGATCCAAGCTACTCAGGAGACTGAAACAGGAGGATTGCAGATTCAAAGCCAGCTCAGGAAATTTAGACACTCTCTCAAAATAAAATAAAAAAGGTTAGGTGTGTTGCTCAGTGGTAGAGCACTTGTGTAATAGCACATATGAGATGTTTGAGGACCCAGGTTTAAAACTTTTTGTCATGTACTTTATCTGTTTTCTTTTATTAGGGTTGATTCAATCTGGCTAAAAGACTGAAAAACTTGGCTGGGTGCAGTGGTGCATGCCTGTAAGACCAGCAGCTTAGGAGGCTGAGGCAGGAGGATAGCAAATTATAGCCAGCCTTAGCAATTTAGTGAGGCCCTAAGCAACTTGGCAAGCCCCTATCTCAATAAAAAAGGATTAGAGATGTGGCTCAGTGATTAAGCACCCCTGGGTTCAATTCCCAATACCCCCCAAAAAATGACTAAAAGATGGGGCTGGAGTTGTAGCTCAGTGGTAGCTTGCTAGCTTAGCATGTGTGACATACTGGAAGACTGAAAGACCGAAAAACTTAAGTTTTCTGGCCAGTTCTCTGTGTGAGACAGAGAAAAGGGCAGAGGCCCAGGGGCAGCAGAGAGACTCTGAGACAGAACAGGGAAGAGCCAGCAGCTACCACTGTCCTAATGTTAAGTTCCTAAAGGCATTCCTGTGACTCAGTAGCACGTTTTTCATGTCCTGATGAACAGCTCCTGATGCTCTCCTTAGAAAGATGAAGGAGAACCCCTGTTGGTTCAAGAAAAGAATGGCCTTGTTGTCCTTTGTGATAAAAATTACTACATTATCCCCGCACCATCTCTTCTTGCTTGTCACATTTAATTACATGCTGTCCCCTAACCATTCTAGGTGGGTGGCAACAGTGAAACTGTCTTTCTCTGCTTATAGCATTGGGTCACCTTGTCTCTAGCACTTGTAATGTTATCTTTTTCTAGGATTATAAAGGAGGGCTTTTTCTGTGATTATCATGAGATTAAGTCAAAGCTCTATACTTTTTCTCTTTGGAATGGAAAGGGATGTGTTGTGCTTTGTGAAGATAATATTTATTGGGAAGGAAGTATGGTGGGAAATTGGATAACAGGTCCAAAATAGGAGGAATAAGTTCTAATGTTCTACAGCATAGTAGAATGATAACTTACTGTACGTTATGAAGGACTAAAGAACTAGAAGAGAGGAGCTTAAGGGTTCCCAACATAAAGAAATGATAAACATTTCAGGAAATAGAAATGCTAAGTACCCTGATTTGATCATTACACATTGTATGTATATATCAAATTATCACACTGAACACCATAAATACATGCAGTTTATATAAATAAAAACGTAGGTCTGGGATGTAGCTCAGTGTTAGAATGATTGCCTGACATGAGTGAGGCCTTGGGTGCTCACAAAAACACAAAAAACAAGCAGAAAACCTAACTTCACATGTAAACAAAATAAATTATTACTATAATTATTGCTAGCGTGATGCAGGTTTGCTCCTCCAGGGTAAGGCCCTGGCCACCATACAATTCTTGAAGTGAAGAGGTAGGGTTTTTTTGTTTTGGTTTGCTTTTTTTAGGGTTTGAACTCAGGGGCACTCAACCACTGAGCCACATCCCCGGCCCTATTTTGTATTTTATTTAAAGATAGAGTTGCTTAGCACCTCGCTTTTGCTGAGACTAGCTTTGAACTTGGGCTCCTCCTGCCTCAGCCTCCTGAACCACTAGGATTACAGGTGTGCACCACTGTGCCTGGTGAAGAGGTAGGTTTTATAAAAGACTTGGTGATGGGCTGGGGATGTGGCTCAAGTGGTAGCGCGCTTGCCTGGCATGCGTGCGGCCCAGGTTCAATCCTCAGCACCACATACAAACAAAGATGTTGTGTCCGCCAAAAACTAAAAAATAAATATTAAAAAAAAAAAAAAAAAGGCTTGGTGATTAAAAATACTATTCTTAGCCAGGTGTGGTGATATACTCCTGTAATCCTAGCAGCCTAGAAGGCTGAGGCAGGAGGATCATAGATTTGAAGCCAGCCTCACCTACTTTGCAAGACTTTAAGCAACCTAGTGAGACCCTGTCTCAAAAAAAAAAAAAAGTTTAAAGAGCTGGGGATGTTGCTCAGTGGTTAAGCACCCTTGGATTTAACCCCTGGTACCCCCACAAAGTATCTATATAAATTATTACTCCTTTTTATCAGACTGTGCAAACCCTGCTCCAGCACTTACCAGCAGTGTAAGCTTGGAGAAGCCATGTATTTCAAAACGGAAATAATATTTCTCCTTACCTCATATGGTTGTCACAATCCAGTAACTTCAGCACATAAAAGGTTTGGCCCATATGGGCTGGGGATGTGGCTCAAGCAGTAACACGCTCGCCTGGCATGCGTGCCGCCCAGGTTCGATCCTCAGCACCACATACAAACAAAGATGTTGTGTCCGCTGAAAACTAAAAAATAAATATTAAAAAAAAAAAAAGTTTTGGCCCATAGAAAGCACTCACCTTCAGATGCACAGGTCTACCTCAAGGCAAGATTTCTGGCTGGCATTCTCACTGTGGCCTCTTCTCCCTTTTTCAGGGACTTGCTATCTCCTGACTCCGTCCTGAGCTGTTTGTATCCTGGAGATCATGGAAAGAAAACTCCAAATCCAGCCAATCAGTATCAGTTTGATAAAGTTGGGTGAGTCTGCTGCGTCTTGTTCTCTCCCAACCTCTATGCTTTTGAGTATCTCTGGTGGCTCAAGCCCAAGGTGGAGATTTGTTAGGGCCAGTGGCCACCCAGGGGACAAGGGAGACCCCAGGACAGGAGGCAGCACTTTTCTTGTTTTCAAGGCAAAGGAATGTCATAGAAAAGTTGAAAAGTATGTTATGATAAGAGCAGGGGTTGTAGCTTCCCATGATTGCTTAATATGCACAAGGCCCTCAGTTCAGTACCTGACACCACAAAAACAAAAACTGAAAGAACACATATATAGCCAGGTTTGGTGGCTTACACCTGTAATCACAGCAACTTGGGAGGCTGAGGCAGGAGCATCACAAGTTCAATGCCAGTCTCAGCAATGTAGTGAGGCCTTAAGCAACTGAGTGAGATCCTATTTCAAAATAAAAAAGGTGGGGCGGGGGGCTAGGGATGTGGCTCAAGCGGTAGCGCGCTCGCCTGGCATGTGTGCAGCCCGGGTTCGATCCTTAGCACCACATACAAACAAAGATGTTGTGTCCGCCGAAAACTGAAAAATAAATATTGAAATTTAAAAAAAAAAAAAAAGAGCACTTGCCTAGCATGTGTGAGACACTGGGTTTGATTCTCAGCACCGCATATAAATAAATGAATTAAATAAAAAAAAAAGGTGGGGCGGGTGTGGGCAACTGGGGTTGTAGCTCAGTGGTAAGAATGCGTACCTCGCATGTGTGAAGCACTGGGTTCGATCCTCAGCACCACATAAAAATAAATAAGTAAAGATATTGTGTCCTTCTACAACTAAAAAAAATTCAAAAAAGGACTGAAGATGTGGCTGAATGGTTAAGAACCACTAGGTTTAATCCCCAGTACCATTTTTTTAAAAACCTAGCAACAACAACAAAAAAAACATATTAAAAATATGTAGCATTTTTGTTTTGTTTTGGTTTTTCAGTGTGCTGGGGGATCACACTCAAGTCCTTACACATGCTAACAAGTATTCTGCCACTGAGCCATACCCCCAGCCCATATGTAACATTTTCTTTTTTTTCATGGTGCTGGGGATTGAACCCAGGACCTTGCACATGCTAGGTAAGCATTCTACCACTGAGCCAAATCCCCAGCCCCAGCATTTTATAAATTGGTAGGCCAATGAAGACATCAGTGTACCCTTTGCCTTTTTGGTTTTTATTTGCTTTTGACTTGGGGCTGCAGGGGGGAAAAGAAGAAAGCAATTGTGGGAGAGATGAAATTCCCAGTAAGGACCTGATGAAGTGAAGGGGCTTTGTGGGCTGCCTGTTTGTGAACATGGTTGAGTCTGTGAACCCTCCTGTCTATAGGACATAGGAGGATGGGAGAAGGCTGTATCCAGGGACTATAGCAGACATTATTTAAATAATCTTAATGTGTGTTTTTTTCTGTAGCATCCTGACTTTGAGAGACTATGTACTTGATTTGGGTCACCCCTATTTGTGGGTACAGAAGCTGGGTGGCCTCCACTTCCCCAAAGAGCAGCCCCAGGTATGTACACTAACCCTGTCTCTTTGGACAAAGGGCTCTATGTCTCCTCTCCTGTATAGATTCCAGAAAGGCTTCTGGTGGCCTTGTGGGCTTATTTTAGCAGAATGTCTTTATTTGGGACTGTGATCTGTTCTCTGTCCATCCACTCAGTACACTCAGATGTCTGGGGCTATGAGTATTAATGTGCCTTTTGCCTTCTCTGTAAGCCTAGTGGCTTTCTAGACCAAGGTAACTTGGATTCTTCCTCTGGGTGCAACATGGCTTCAGGTTCTGCCACCCTCAGTTTTGTGAGCAAGGATGCCAAAAATGAGGTATGAACAAAATCCCAGAGGACCAGGCATCTTAGCAGAAGCCTGCTTTTTCTCAGGAGCTAGCCACAGTCTCTTGAGAACCCAGCAACTTATGTTGTTCCTGTGTGGCCATTCATAGTGGGTAAACCCTGCCACTCCTAAGTGGCATGCACCTTAGGGCATGGATGATTCAGGCTATGCAGGCTGGCAAATCCCTGGAGAGTCGTGTTCCCTGGAGGAAGTGGGGGAGCTGTCAGGTATGTGCCTCTCATTGTCATTCACAGCACACGGTGATTGCTGACCACTCACTGAGTGCCAGCCACATGGAAACCACGATGAAACTGCTGAAGACCAGGGTACAGTCCCGTTTGGCCCTCCACAAACAGTTTGCATCCCTGGGTAAGTCACTGTTGGGGCTGGGACTTAACAGCCACTCAGACAACACAGGACAAAAATGACAAGCTTTTCCTAATTCTAATCAAAGAGACCTGGATTTATGGCTTTACTGAGCAGGGATGTTGTCAGGGCCATTAGGGAGAGCTGCAGACCTATCCAGGCAGAGTTCTGAGCTCCCTGCAGAATCATGAGGGCTGTCCTGCCTTCTCAGAAGAGGCCCCAAACCTTTGGGTGTCACAAGTTCATGGGCTGATCAGGGCAGCTCATCCTAGATCCATTCATCACAGATGATGATGTGATCTGACAAGTATTTAATGAGAATCTAGTTCATGCCAGGTGCCAAGCATAATGAAGGGGAAAGAACAGTAGAGCCCCTGCCTTCATGGCGCTCACATGCAGCTCATTTGAATACCGTTGTACTGTGGATCTACACCCTCATCTCTTTTTCAAGACCTACTGATCTGATACTCCCTAAGGTGGTATGAGTCCTTGTGTTTTCTCCTAGGCTCTTAGGTGATTCTGATGAACTTCTGACCTAGGTAGTAGCCATCTGGGGCTTTTAATTTATTCATTTGGTAAATACTTAACTGGTTTACGGAGTGTACAGCACTTGCAGGGTGGGAGTGTCAGATCTTTCTGAGTCACTGTCAGGAAAAGCATTGTTTTTCCTTAACCCATTAAGAGACCCCACCTCCCAGGCTATTTCACTGGTTCCACATGGACCCTGTTCTCTGCAGGGCAGCATTGCCTGTCCATTAGACCTTGCTCCCTATCAGCATTGCTGAATTTGTTTTGTCCCAAGGTTGAATGATTGTCATCCAGGACAGCATTTACTGTGTTGGCATATTTGCTTATTGAATTGCCAGCAGGAATTTACCCTGGAGCAGTTCTCCAGCTCTTCTCCCTTAGAGGAACTGACACAGAACACTTCACTGGCTTCCTCTGTCAAGGTCAGCTGTGAAAATGCAGCCCTCTCAGCTATTTGATCTAATTAACAGTCATTGCTGCAGAGGCCCAGAAACTGGTTCTGGCCTCAGGGTTTGTTTTGCTGGCCAACATTTGCATTAAGGAGAAAGCACTGTGAATGCTGGTGCTGGGTCTGTGCATATGCACATAGTTCTGAGTGAAGGTCAGGTTGGTATGCCTGTGTCTCTTGAGTGCCAGGTGTATCTGGACAGATGGAGGGCCACCATAGCCCTCCAGACAGCCCTGAACAGATGCTAGCTATGGTACATGATTTCCACACATGACATCACCTATCTTGCTATCATTTAGAACATGGCATTGTGCCAGTTACCAGCGATTGCCAGTATCTCTTCCCTGCCAAGGTTGTGTCTCGCCTGGTGAAGTGGGTGACAATTGCTCATGAGGATTACATGGTAAGTGGAGGAGTGACAGGTCACAAATACTGATCATGTCACCTTTTAGCTCCTGCCCATCCTAGAAGTGCAAGGAGCTTAACTAGAGAAGACAACAACTGAGTCTTTGTCCATGGTGCTTATTCTAGGATCTGCATTTTACCAAAGACATTGTAGAGGCAGGACTGGCTGGGGACACCAATCTCTACTACATGGCGCTTGTTGAAAGGGGCACAGGTAGGTGATTTCTCTGCTCTTGACAATGGTTCTAGGTAAGGGGAGCCACCAAGAATCAAACATGCCTGGGGGTGGCCTAAAGGAAGCAAAAGATCCTGGAATCTTGCCAGCAGAGACTTAGCAAATAGTGATTGTGAGAGCTACTCTCAGCAAGGACTTGTTCTGTAATGCATTCACATCTACCCTTTATCTCATTTAATCCTCACGATAGTCTTGGGGATGATAGGATCTTTCCCATTTTATAGGTCACCTGGGATGACCTCAAAGCCTGAGCCCTCTACCCTTTGCTTAACCATTGTCAAGCATCAGACCCCCATCCTCTCCTCAGAAGGGCAGAGGTGTCACTCTCAGGTTATAAAGAGCAGGTCCGGGCTGGGATTGTGGCTCAGCAGTAGAGCGCTCACCTAGCACACGCGGGGCCCTGGGTTCGATCCTCAGCACCACGTAAAAATAAATAAATAAAACAAAGGTATTGTGTCCGACTACAACAACAAAAAAATATTTAAAAAAAAAAAAAGCAAGTCCTAGGGGCTGGGGTTGTGATGTAGCAGTAGAGTGCTCGCCTAGCATGTGCAAAGCTCTGGGTTCAGTCTTCAGCACCACATAAAAATAAAATAAATAAACTAAAGGGATTGTGTCCAGCTACAACTAAAAAAAAAAAAAAAAAAAAAGAGCAGGGCCCTGGATCCCCTTCCTTTTCTCCACTCCTGTATTCCCCTTGGAGACATCAAAAGCTGTGATTCCTCACACCTCTTCCAGCATCTGGCTCTGAGGCTTCCTGATGGAGCTACTCAGATCCTGTGCTCAAGGAATTTGTCTCACCCCAGCCTCAGCAAGCCTGGCCCTGTTCACAAGATCTCACTTCCTAGGTTTGCTGCTATAATCACCAAGCTATAGAAGTTGTTTTTACTTCTGTACTAGTCTGTTTGGGGACTCTGTGACAAAATTCCTAAGGCTGGATACTTTATAAAGAAGAGAGATTTTTTTTTTTTTTAGCTCACATTTTTGTAGGCTGAGATTCCAAGATTAGGTGGCCCATCTGTTTGATCTCTGGTAAGGACTTAATATTTATCAATGGTATCACAAGGACAGGAGCATTTGTGGAAGAGAGCTCATGGTGAAACAGGAAGCCAGAGAGATGGATGGACCAGGCTTGCTCTTTTTATAGCAACTTATATGGGAACTAACCAGAATCCCACCAGAACTATGTTAATCCCTTCCGAGGGCAGTGTCCAACTCCAAGACCTAATCATCTTCCATTAGGCCTGCCTCTCAAAGGTTCTACCCCCATCTCAACACTGCCACACAGGGAACCAACCTTCTAGCACATAAACCTTCAGGGGACACACTCAAACCATATGCAAATCACAGCAAGTTCTAAGACAGTGCCCATGGGTAGAGAGGATAAATGTCATCCTGTAAAAAGACAAAGGCTGTCATCAGAGGAAAAATGAATATAGTTAGAAATACAGATATTTTGTTTAAAAATTATGGGTGCAACTCTGACATCAGGCAGTTCTGGTTCAACTCAGCATTACTGCTTTGCAACTCTTTGGTGGTGAGGTAGTTTCTGTCAGCCCCAGTTGTCACATAATAAACTGTATATCAGGATTATTGTACCCATCTCATAGAATCATAGTTAGGATGGAATAAAATGTGTTTAGTAGAGCCTAGAATACAGTAAGGACTCAACAAATGTTGGCTGTTTAAAAGAATTTCAGGGCTGGGGGCATAGCTCTGTGATAGAGTGCTTACCTAGCATAAGCCCTGAGTTCAGTCCCAGAACTGGAGAAAGGACAAGAGAAAAGAAAAAAAGAATTTTATATAACAAAATATAAAACAAAAGAAAGAGAATAGACAAAATGTTTTATATAACTGCTGGTATTATATAACAATATTATTATTTTTTATTTTTTTAATTGTAGTTAGACCTTTATTTTATTTTTATTTATATGTGGTGCTAAGGATCGAACCCAGGGCTTCCCACGTGTTAGGTGAGCACTCTACCACTGAGCTACAATCCCAGCCCCTATAACAATATTGTTGAAAAGAAAAAACAATAGAATAAGTTTCATATGAAAAATCCTCAACAACTTAGGTGAGATCCTGTCTCAAAATAAAAAGGGCTAGGGGGTCTGGCATGGTGATGCACACTTGTAATCCCAGCCACTTGGAAGGCGATAGGACCATCACAAACTTGAGGCCAGCCTCAGCAATTTAGACCCTCAGTAAGGCCCTAAGCAACTTAGACCCTGTCTCCAAAGAAAAAATAAAAAGGGCTGGGGATGAAGCTCAATGGTAAAATGGCACTGGGTTCAATTCCCAAAACAAAACAGTACCACACCTTAACCTGGCATATGAAGAAATAACAATAAAAATTCTCTTAGAATGGCAAATTGAGCCTGTGGGTAAACCCAAGGTAGGCCAGATGCTGGAGGGTTCATAGCTCTGTGGCACACCAACTAGAACAAAGTCCTTGAAAGGACCAGAGTTACCAGACCTCACATTCTGCAATTCCACTTAGGAGATTCTAGAACAATTAGTGCCAGAGTGTACTCTGCAGCACTTGGATTAATAGGAGACATCTGAGCTGGCCTTGGGTACTGTGGGAAGGCTGCCATACTGGGAAACTGGGTGGTAGAACTAATTTTTCCTCTCCTTTCTTCCCAGCCAAACTCCAGGCTGCTGTGGTGTTGAACCCTGGCTACTCTTCCATCCCACCCATTTTCCAGCTCTGTCTGAACTGGAAAGGGGAGAAAACCAACAGCAATGATGACAACATTCGGGTGAGGCCCATTGGGTGAGGGTAGGAGGTGAGGGGTGACAGGAGGAACAAGAAAAGCCTTGTGGAGAGGTGGGCAGTCACAACCTGTCTCAGCTGAGGTCATGGGCACTAAGTATGCCAAAGCCTATAATATGAGAAGGCTTAGGCTCATCTCTCTTGCTCACCTACCTTGGGGCTCATGGGTTTCCCCTTTTATAAAATAGGAATGCTTGCCTTGAAAGTTTGTTGTTTTGGACTTCTGTGAAGACATGAGTAAACTCAGAAGCATTACAGAAGCTCTGGAATGAGAAACTGATGAAATCACTCTGTTTAATTAGGGTTACACCTGCTGATATGACTTGGTAGTACCCTTATTGCTATAAAGGATGTCTTACCTTCTGACTTGCCTATTGTCTCAAGATTCTTTCTCTCCATACATGTGTTCCTGGCTGTGGGTATTTGAGGCAGGGAAAGTTATGGGTCAGGATCAGGAAAACCTTATTGTATAGAGGAAAAGGAGACCTCAATAGGAGGCAGTCTGGCTTTATCTGCAGGCGTAGCTCGTGTTGAGGCACAGCCACAGTTCCTGTGGCACCCTCACACCCACCCTGGGACAAAAGGCTGGCCAATGTAGTGAGCCACCCTCAGGAAGGTAGTGCTAAGGTGCTGGCTTTCCCACCCACACAGGCCATGGAGAGCGAGGTCAATGTGTGCTACAAGGAGCTGTGCGGTCCCCGGCCCAGCCACCAGCTCTTAACCAACCAACTGCAGCGGCTGTGCGTGCTGTTGGATGTCTACCTGGAGACAGAGAGTCACGATGACAGTGTGGAGGGGCCCAAGGAATTTCCTCAGGAGAAGATGTGTTTGCGGCTTTTCAGGTGAGGGAGGGCCCAAGCCTCAACCTTCTGGTGACCTCTTGAAGGGAGATGGAGCAGAGATCAGAGTCTTGCAGGAGACCAATTCTCTCAGGGCCAGACATGGAGGGTATGTGCTTTTTGAGGTGCGTTTACCTCTGTTCAGAGCAGAAATTAAAATCCTACTGCCAGATTTCCTTGGGGAGAGCTATGCCCTCCTTCCTGAGTCCTGCAGCCTGATTTACCTGTTCTCCATGAACAGCCAACCAAGGAAACAGTGCCAGGCCACAAACCAAGAGGATGTGGCTGAACTTCCAGAACTTTCTATGGAAAACAGTAGGGTCTGTTTGCTTTTAACTATCTGAATAAGTATTTTAAGTGATGTGCACGCCATAGTCCCCGGGTAGTCTTCTGTAGTCTTCTAGAGTGCTCCCTGTCTGGAGATTCTGGTTGTGCATAGTCAGCAGCACAGAGGAACCAGCTCCCAAGTGAGACAGACGAGTGCAGAGACCACAGAAGAGTCATTGCAACTACTCAGCCCTGAGCCTCTTTCCCTACGGCCGAAGTGGTAAAAGCATACCTTTCTAGCTCATTGTGAATCCAAGATGATTCATGTAGTTTCCAGGTGGTTCCTGGCATAAGACAGCTCCTCAGAATATGCCAGCAGATCCTAGTACCTTACCTTGATGTTTAGTATCTGGGCTCACGTCAGTTCTGGCTGTTTTTCCTTTCTCTTTGGCATTAGTTTGTTTTCTTTTCATCCACTAATTCCTATTTTTATACATTTTAAAACTGAATTTACTGCTCAGGCCTCCTTTCCAAGTGGAGTTCGAGCTAACTCTTTCTAGTTGGGCCACCCTTCTTGTCCCTGTCAGTTTGAATGGTGCTATACCTTGCCCTCATCTTGTTCTCAGATGCAGTTCCATCCCCAGGAAGCAGTCCCAGCACCTCCACTGGGTTGGTTTATTGTGTTGACTAATAATAAACCCCCATGTGGCTGCAGGGAGGCAAAGCTGGTGACTCTTGTAGAACCTTCTAGGATCTGCTATCCCTTGTGGGTCAGTGTGAGACTTCAGCTCTTCCCAGCCTCCCAGCTCCCTGTAGCACATTTCCAGGATAGGAACCCCCATATGCCCTGTGCTTATTTCCTCTTCTCAGATTTCTCCCAAAGGACCCATTTCCTGAAGTGTTAACTCCTCTGTCTACACTGTGGAAAGGTGCTGCTTTGATGACTCAGATCTAATTAACTCCATGACTGGCAGATGGGAGATGTGAAGCTTTTGGCCCAGAGTCCAGATGATCACTGGGATTGGGACTGAACCAAGGGACCAAGTTCAGAGTGCTGGTGTGAGCAGCAGGAGACCTAAGATGCAACTTAGCCCCTGGCCAGGGACTGCCAGGCTAAGGCTTCTCCATCAGCACTGTATCTAGACCTGGTGACTCTGTGCTCTTATAGTGTTGGGAGACAAGTGATGTCATAGATGTGAGCCAGAACTCCAGTGCCAGAAAGAGGCTCTGGAAGGTTCAAATTCCAGCTTCTGACTGTGTGATTAGGCTAAGCCTATGCTTAGCCCCTCTGAGCTTTAGTTTCTTCATCTGTAACAGCACCTGCCTCAGGTGTTACTGGGAGGATGAAATTAAATGAGATGGAGGGTGTCAAGTGCCAAGTACTGCAAGCTGAGTACACCCTCAGCCACTGGTGGTGGAATAAAAATCTTTCTCCCCTCTTTATAATCCCTGCCACACATTCGTACACGCACATGCACACAAACAAGACGCAGGACATCACCTTTGGTTACCATTGAATTTCAATCATAGACAGACAGAAACGGGGAAGGAGTCTTTTATTGCTGGGCATCCACTGCTTGTGGAGTTGTGGGGAAGAGGCCCCATGTGAAGTTTTGTTAGGGCACCCGGAATTACAGCTGAAGCACCTACGTTTCACAGGATCAAGGCTTTGGATTCAGGTCCTGCCCTGCCCAGCCATGACTCTCAGCCTTCCTGGGGCAAACAGGCTTGGCATCAGACCTGTTATCAAATTTTGGCTCTGTTTCTTCCTGGCCATACAGTGTTAGCAGATAATTTAACCCCACCCCCAACCTGTTTCTTCATCTGTAAAATTTGTACAATGATAGAAGTGGCACCTAAGAGGTAATAAGTATAAACCCATAGCTCTTGGCAGATAGTGCAGATCTTTTTTTGGTACCAGGGATTGAACTCAGGGCACTCAACTGCTGAGCCACATCCCCTGCCCTGTATTGTATTTTATTTAGAGACAGGATCTTACTGAGTTGCTTAGGGCCTCATTTTTGCTGAGGCTGGCTTTGAACTCGTGATCTTCCTGCCTCAGCCTCCCAAGCTGCTGGGATTACAGGTGTGTGCCACCGAACGCAGTAGTGCAGATTCTTTTTAGTCCCAGACTCTTGCTTGCATGGAAATCTCCCTACAAGGAATATTTAATTTTTTTCTTTACATGATGTAAATTATAGAAACAAAGCATGTTTGTTATATAAACAATAATTATCTAAAAAGTGAGGGTGCCCAATCCCTGTCCCCTCAGTGCCCATCTTCTTTAGGGCCCTTCCAGGTTTTGTGTACACATTTGCAAGCACATAGAGACTTTTTACAAAAATAGTGTCACACCTTACTGTATTACAGTCTGTTTTTCTCACACTGTCCTGTGCCATGTATCTCTGTCCCCCTTTCTTTTTTTCTAACAGCTACATGATATTCCCTCTGTGAGTGAACTGTAACTTATCAGTCTGGGAGGCATGGTATTAACTGCTTTTCCTTCTCCTGTTTCTCTAGGGGTCCAAGCAGGATGAAGCCGTTTAAATATAACCATCCTCAAGGATTCTTCAGCCATCGCTGACCTGCTACTCTGCCTGTTGCTGCCCGGAGTATTAGGCCTCTGCTTTCTGCTTTGGCCACATGTGGCTCTTGATAGTTTCTGGAGATACTAGGTTATTAAAGTGTCACCTGACCAAACAGCCTTTGTTTGTGCCTCCTTGAGGAGGTGGTTTTATGATTTGAGGGCAGCTGGGAGCCATGATACAGTGTGAAAGAGCGTTTTAAAAGGTGGCCAAGAAAAGCAAACAAGAGATTCTGATTCTGTAAAGAGATGCCATCCTCTAGTATGCAGATACCTTTTTTGCGGGGAGGGGGGGTCCCAAGGATTGAACTCAGGGGCACTCAACCACTGAGCCACATCCCCAGCCCTATTTTGTATTTTATTTAGAGACAGGGTCTCAGTGAGTTGCTTCTCGCCATTGCTGAGGCTGTCGTTGAACTTGCAGTCCTCTTGTCTCAAAACTGCCTGAGCTGCTGGGATTACAGGCATGTGTCACTGCGCCTGGCTTGGGGCAGAGCGTTTCTTATCATCTTCATATTTATTTTCCTAGGTCTCAGCTATTAGGTGGAGAAGCCAAAGGCAGAGCCAAAAAGCACAAGCTCCTGTTCCTCCTGCCCCAACTCTTCACTACTACTTTCATTATCCATGATGGCTGGATTCTCTCTGATGGGTGCTTTAAATATTTGACAGTGCAGGGGCTGGGATTATGGCTCAGTGGTAGAGCACTCGCCTAGCATGTCCGGGACCTGGGTTCGATCCTCAGCACCACATAAAAATAAAGGCATTGTGTTGTGTCCATCTACACCTAAAAAATAAATAATGAAAAATAAATAAATAAATATTTGACAGTATAAATAGAAGACAAATACATCATACAGCATAATTCTAAATCTTGCAAGATTTCATGAAGTCAGTGAGAGTGATGTTACGAGAATCATGTGCAAAGTTGCTGGCCAGTGAGACAATGGCAAAATGAGACCAGATGACATTTGTGGAGAATCTTCATGTAAATAACATGATAAATGTCCCCCTAAAAAATGATTTGATTCTTGGGATTAGGAGAAGTCCTGGGAAAATGTTTCTAAGCTTACCTCCTTCATGATCCTCCATTAGAAGACAAAGTGAAGGATGACACAGAGTATTCTTGGATAGTTTTGTCAGAAAAATTATATCTGCCCTCCACCCCCCCACAAAAAAAAATCAATACAGGAAAGGCCTATTAGGGCCCTTTGTTTTATATATGGAAACTGGACCCCAGCCAGAGAGGAAAATGGTACCTTAAGTAGCCACCAAATGACCACCACTACCTGAGCCTCTCCTTCACCTTGGCCTTAATAATTCCTTTGAGTGCCCAACACAGACAGGTACTTTCCTGCCCAAAGGCCCTCAAACTGCACCTGCATCACCTATCCTGGGAACTGAACCGAAGTGCACATTCCAAGCTCCACTCCCACTATTCTGACTCAGTTGACCTGAGATGGGCCAAGGAAGTATATTTTTAACAAGCTCCCCAGGTGCAGTGTGCCCTAGTCTTTTTTTGGAAGGTGCTGTACTTTCCTCCCTTATTTTTCCCGTATTCAATTCTCTGAGCAGCTCCCCTCTTCTGTCTTTTGCACCTAGTCTCTTGTCTTAGGAGCTCAGTGATAGGCCTCTCCTTCAGAAAAATCTTAATCCTGGGACGCTCAGTGATCAGCTGAGCAGGCAGGAGAAACAGTCAATAAACCCACTTTTACCAAATGTGCTTATAATGGAGACCAAAGTTTGTTTATTGTTGTAAAAGGAACAAATTTTTTTAATGTTTTAGTTGTAGATGGACACAATACCTTTATTTTTTTGTGGTGCTGAGGATCAAATCCAGTGTCCCACACGTGTGAGGCGAGCATCCTATCACTGAGCTACAGCCCCAGCCCCGAAAGGAGAAAGTTTTACTGGGAATATCCCAAAAAATAAAATTTTGTCTCGAGCCTCTAGGCACTTCTTTCCTTCCCCATAGCAAAATCTTGTCTTTTTTCCTGACCTACTTACCTGGGACTTTGTCCCTGCAGGCATCCTCTTGGTTTGGCCACCTTCAGTCCTTGTATCTCACTGCCTGTGCTGAATACGATTAAAATGGAACCTAAAAATAGTTTCTTTACTGGCTCCTGCATTGCAGCTTCCACTTCTGTTCTTGGCTGGAAGACGGCCAGTCTGACTCAGCACAAAAGCTCTCCTCCAAAGGAAATAGGGACTTGTGAGGACTAGGAGGAGGCTCTTTTTCCTAGGCAGGGCTCATTGCAGCCTGTCACCCTCTCAAGGAGATTTTTCTCTTTTAAAAGAAGCAGGCTGAACAAAAGAATCCCTTGGCTTTAAGAAGTGGTTCTTTTGTGTGTGTGTGTATCCTGGGCACTCGACCTCTGAGCCACATCCCCAGCCCTACACTATATTTTATTTAGAGACAGGGTCTCACTTGAGTTATTTAGCACCTCACTTTTGCTAGGTTGGCTTTGAACTCAAGATCCTCCTGCCTTAGCCTCCTGAGTGGCTGGGATTACAAGTGTAAGCCATTGTGCCCTGCTAAGAAGGGTCTTAAAGCAAATGAGAAATCCAGGACAAAGACCCCTTTGAACTACTCAATTGAGCCATTCATGACAAGGGTGGGCAGATTGAGGAAAGGGGCCTAAAGGGAAGGGAGCACCTAGAATCTACTCAGCTGAAATTGTCCATGACATTTCCATCGTTCCCCTGCTGGGGCACATTCCAAAGTGCAGCCCCTCTTTACTTCAGGCTCAGTGTTCATCCAGGCTGGCACACTTGCTGGGCCATATATTCATTTCAGCAACAGAAGTTGTACGTTTCAATACACCCAGAGTAACACAGTTATCAGGAGCTAACAGCTTGGTGTCCAACTGACTCATCTAGGTCCTCATTCCAACCTGAGCAGCTGCATAACCCTGGTTATTTGACTCACTTTAAGCCTTGGGGGTCCTCCCCTGCTACTGGGAGTAGCCACAAAACCTTTCTCACAGGTAGGTAGTATCAACTCTTGGTACCATAACCAGTATTTAGGATTGCTCAGCAGACAGGAGACTCATCCCTGCCCTCCAGGTTTCAACCTAGAGAAGGGGCCTCTTGGATGAGGAAGGCCTTTTGCACTGGATACTTCCTTCCTCTGCCAAGGGATTCCAACTCTGGAAGCTTTGGTCCCTCCTTGCCAGCACATGGCCTATATTAGGGTCATATGGATGCTGTAACAAAACACCTCAAACTTGATGAGATAACAGATTTATTCTCTTCAAATTCTGGAACACATATATGTCCAAAATTAGATTCATTGGACTACAGTAAAAATCTGGTTCCTTCTGTAGGCTCTAGGGATGAATCTGTTTTCTGCTTTTCCAGCTTTTATAGGCCTTCTTGGTTTGTAGCTTTTTGCTTCATCTGTGAAGTCACTCCAATCTGGGCATCCATTAGCATATCACCTCCTTTGGCTGATCCTCCAGTCCTTCTCTTACAAAGACCCTTTGGTTGGTACTGGGTCTCCCCAGATAATCCAGGACTATCTCCACATCTTGAGATCCTTAACCTAATCATTTCTGCAAAGTCCCATATACCTTATGTGATAACATGCACATAGGTTTTGGAAATTACAACCTGGATATCTTTAGGGGACCATTATTTAGTCTACTATATGGCCTGAGAGTGAGGAGGTATGGTTTCCCAAATAGAAAAAAGGATTGTTAGAAAAAAGGAGACAGAGGCTAGGAGCAAAAACCCACAGAGGTCCTAGAATAAAACATAACACATTTAATTATATAATAATTTGTGTGCTCTTTTTTTTTTTTTTTTTCTTTTTGGTACCAGGGATTGAACTCAGGGGTACTCAACCACTGAGCCACATCCCCAGCCCTGTGTTGTATTTTTTTGAGAGACAGGGTCTCTCTGAGTTGCCTAGCACCTCACCATTGCTGAGGCTGGCTTCGAACTCTCAATCCTTCTGCCTCAGGGATTACAGGCATGTGCCACCTCACCCAGCTGTACTACTATTTATTATTTGTTTTCCCATTAAATTGTAGGCTTCAGAATGGGCAGAAAACCCACTTGTGTTTTGTTTACCTCTAGAGCTCTCAGACCTTACACAGATTGGTGCACAAAGAAATCAATAAGTATTTCTTTTTTTTTTTTTCTTTGTGTTTTTTATTACTGGGGATAGAAACCAAGGGTGCTTTACTACTAAACCACATCCTCCAGACCTTTTTATTATTTTTTTTATAATCATTCATGTACTACATAAAGCTGACATTTATATTTGACTATTGTTTTGCAAAAGTCATATCAACAACAAAAATACCTCCCTCCTCCCATATTTTCTTGGTAGAAGAAGGAAATAGACAAAATAAGCAGACAAACAAAAAGGATCACATATTTTATGATGATCTCATTTCTCTGAAATGTCTAGAATAGGCAAAGGCATAGAGACAGAAAGTGGACTGATTAGAGACTGCAAGGGACCTTAGAGACTGCAAGGGACCGGAGGAGAGGAAAACGGAATGACTGAGTGCTAATGGGTACTGGGTTTTCTTTTTGAGAAAATGATAAAAATATTTTGGAACAAAAAGTGATGGTCGCACAACATGGTATATGTACTAAATGTTGTCACTTGTAAATTTTGTTATGTGTATTTTGCCACAATAAAAAAGTTTCAGGGGCTGGGATTGAGGCTCAGTGGTAGACCACTCGGATAGTGCACGTGAGTCGCTGTGTTTGAGCCTCAGCACCACACAAAATGAAAGATATTGTGTTCACCTACAACTAAAGAGAAAATTTTTTTAAAAATGTTTCAAAATAACTTATTGAGGTGAAATTCACATAACATAAAATTAATCATTCTGAAGTGAACAACTCAGTGACAATTTAGTCTGTTAGGAGATTAAGATAAAATGGCTATCATAAATCCTTTGCCTGTTTTTGGATTAAACTCTTTAAATATTCTAGATACTAGGCCCTTATCAGGTATATGACTTTTGAATGTTTTCTTCTATTTTGTAGGTCTTCATTTTTATTTTTTAAATGTTTTGCAGAGGTGGGGATCAAAGTGGGCCTCCAGCATGCTAGCCAAGCTCTCTACCATTGAGTTATGCTCTCATTCTCCTTTTCACTCTC